CTCCATAGAGAAGAGAGAGACTGCAGAAATCTGATCTTGATCTTCAATCTCCATCTCCAAGCTTGATTCCCGAGCTCCAATGGCGAAGAAATCCTCCAAAATAGCTCCAAGAATGTTCCCAAGTCGTTCTCTCTCTCTAGGGTTCGTCCCTTGGGTGTTTGGAAACCAAAACCCAGCTCTCTCTCTCCTTTGGCTCGAAATTGGCTTAAAACCAGAAATTCCCGACTCACACGGCCAGGCCACACGGCCGTGTGACTTTCCCAGCTGCCCGTGTGAGTGTCCAAACGCGACGTTTCGATTAGTGGGCAACCAGGCAATCTGCACAGGCAGAGGCCACACGGTCGTGTAGCTCCCCAGTCTGCCCGTGTGGCTTTTACCGAGCCTTCACACGCCCACAAGGGGCCCCTACACGGCCGTGTGAGATGCAATGGTGCCCGTGTGGCTTCCCAGCTTCTCGCCAAACGTCCAATCTTCGTCCAATCGACCCCGAACTCGTTCCCAAACCTTCATTCACGTACTAGGACCTGAAATATCACAAACAAGCACAACCTAGCGTGAAATCAGCGTAAAACACGAGAATCAACATCTCAAACGGCTCAAGAATAGGGGTAGAAACATGTGTAATTATTGGTCTATCAGTGACGTAACGTGGTTGGCATACTAGGGTAGGGACACAGGACGACGAGACATAATGCGGTGGTCCCTGATATTGATGTCTATGTGTTAAGGATAGAAGTAGAGAACTTTTATGAGTTCAAGATAAAAGTAGAGAAATTCTATAAGCTAGTGGAAAGAATGATTATTCTAGAGCAGAAAGCGAGAATGGCTTTCGTGCTAGGAAGGAAACTCTAATAACGTGTTTAGTAGGGATTTTGCCTAGGGAGAAGACCTTAGAAAGTAACGATGAGACTGGCCCTTCTCACTCACCAGGTGCAGAGAGGGGAAGAGGACACATCAATCAGGAAGAGGTTACCCGAGGAGAGCAGCCGCGACAATCTTGAAGATGTCAACTGGATCTGGGTAACGAGATGGGACCTTCTATTATGTCTGTCTTTAGTTCCTGTTTTAATGAGTATAGTAGGAAAATCAAGGATTGTGTTCATTGTTTTGTTGCTTTGGATTGAGGTCGCCCAAGTGTTTAGTGCATTTCTCTTGAGAATCTTAAACATTGTTGTTGTTGATTTTTGGTTTTGACTTGAAAACCTGTTTTGGGTTGCTCTGGAGTAACCGATTTGTTGTTTTAGTTATGGTTTGGTTTTAAAAAAATTATCGGGTCGTTACATCACCATTCACCATCAAGCTCAACATTCAATAGCAAAAACTCTCCACTCTCCAGTAGGCAGCAGCAACAACAAGCACTCAGTAGCATCAACTCTTGAGCAGGCACCAACAACAACAAGCACTCAGCAACAGCTACATGTTTAATCTTCAAGCTTCAAAGTCCAGGAGTGAACGATCTTAAAAATCTGTGAAATCATACAAATTATCAGCAAGCAGCAGCAGTCACCATCTTGAAATTACTGAGATAATTGTTCAGTATTCACTAATCTCATTTCTTAAAATCTTCAAAACTTGGATCCTCCATTATCAACGCAGAGAAGCAGCTTTCCAATCGTTAATCCCATCCTTTCCAGCATCTGATGACAAAAGAAAGGAGAATTGAGTTACTTAATTTCACAATGTAGTTGAACGACAAACAGAGCTGGAAACAATTAAATAAATCCCTTACCTTTGCTAATATCATCCTTATCCAAGTACGGGTGCACATGATTGCCTCAACAACTTCAAAGTGTAGCATACTCTGGTGAGGATCTAGCAGCCTACCACCAGAGCTGAAGGCTGACTCTGAGGCCACAGAGGTCACTGGTACAACAAGCAAATCTCTTGCTACCTCTTGCAACAAAGGGTATTTTCCAGCATTCACCCTCCACCAATCCAAAACACAAACATTAGGAGCTCGAGGACTGACACCCTCGCTCAGATAATGGTCCAATTCAGAGCACAATGAAGTTGTTTTGGACCTTTTCCTTCGGCTTAGATAAAGCTCAAACCAAGGTCGCTTGAGGTAGGAACAACAAGATCATTACCAGAATCAGTGGAGGCAGAAAGATCATCCCTAGCCCTTTGTTTCAACTGATACTCATGGACCACATTATAAACAGTGGCCTTAACAGTCTCAGGGTCAAGAGTAGAATCAAGGCTTTGAAACTTTTCATAATAGTACCCAATCAACTCAAGCTTGTATGCAGGATCAAGAACAATAACCACAGTAAGCAACACATGAATATCAGTCCAGTATTTGTTGAACTTGATCCGCATTTTTTCAGCCATTGCACTAATGATCTCATTAGGATTGACTCGCTTCTACCGTCACACTAGAAAATGGCCAAGTGTAACCACCTACTAGAGAGTAGTATAGCGAGTTTGGGTTTTAATGTCAACCCAGGTCTTAAGTGTGATGACTACTCCGTGAATTCTTATTATTTAGCAGTGAAAGTGTAGTGAAGGTCCAAGTAAACAAACAAGCAAAGCAGTAAAAGGTTGTATTCAAGTTGAGAGAGGTCACACGGATATGGTTCCCCCTAGATTGCAGTTAAGCCAGATTGTAATTTACCAAGTTTGAATTCAAAGATAGTTATACTGCGGGAGGTTCTTATGCAGTCTGCAGTCTCGACTAACCTCCACCGGAGTAAACATATTGAGGCCTTACGAACCAAACCTTCTATACTGGAGTAAACCCGGTACAGAATAGTGAATTGACTCCTCTACTAAAGTCTTCAATTCACTACCGTCAATCAAGGGTTCTCTATCAACCTAGGCAAATATTCTCTTTCTAGGTCAAAGTAGAAACAACAGGAATTTGATCAGTATTCATGCCATTCAACAAATCAGACCTCAATTGAATATAATCAAATCAATGGATTCATACTTGGGTTCATACAATCAGACCTAACATACAAATCTAGGGTTCTTCATACCCAGGTGAATGTGGAAGTTACTCCGTGGAGAGAAGCAAACTCTAGCTCAGAAGCAGAAAACATGCTATGAAGAATGGGGTTATGCTTCTGATCCGCAATTGGCACTTCTCCAAGCGTTATCCGAGCTCCACTAATGATGAAGATCGATCTAAGGCGCTTGGGAACTCTGGTTTGTCGCTTTCTCTCTCTAGGTATCACTTTCTTTCTCTAAAACTCGGAACCCTTCAAAAATCAGCCTTCTTTCCCTTAAAAACCAGCAGGCTACGATCCCTGATCGGGTATTTCAGGTGCCCGCCCAGGGATTTCTAAACGCAGCGCACAGTTACAGGGGATAATACCCGATCGAGGTCAAGAATACCCGATCCGGTATTTTTGCTCATCGGCCGGGCCCCCTTCTAGAATCTGGGCGCACAAAATCACTTTTCCCCCGCCTCCTCAGAATTTTACCCGGCCGGGTATTTTTGCTCATGGCCGGGTATTTTGCTCCTCCATCACCCTTCAACTCAAACGTTCGCCTTTTGACCCAGAATTCGTTCATTAGCCTTAACGTCAACGCCAATCCCTGAAATATGATATAAACACACAACCTAGCGTGAAATCGGCTTAAAACATGGGAATCAACATCTCAAACGGCTCAAGAATGAGGTAAAAATACGTGCAATCAATGGTATATCAAATTCCCCCACACTTAACCATTTTCTTGTCCCCAAGCAAACCTAACTCAAACCAATGCAACTCTCCAGACCTCTATAGCAACAAACAACCCCGATCGTCGGTAGAGAATTTCCTAGATCATATAGCAGCTTACGAGGTCAACTGGTCTTCTAAGACGTTCCCTATCTCTCTCAATGCGAGTACTAGACTCAAGCCAGGATTATGAGAAGAAGTGGAAGTAAGACAGTGAGTTCATGGATAAAGGGACTCACACCATTCACAACCAAGGACTCATTGTACCGGGGGTGCTCTTTCTCTTTATTTCACTGTTGGAACCCCTTTTTCACTTTCATTTTACATTTCTTTTTTTTCATTCACTTGGCGGGTGTTCCAACTGCAGTCTTTTGCACGGTCGACCCTTATTAGTCGAGCAAGAGCAATTTCTGTACATCTGGCGCTCGCCAGAGTACTTTTAACTCCTTTTCCTCAACTCGTGTGGAGGTTCAATGAATGAAGGGGGTCGGAAGCTCTATTTGTGCCCTTAAAAACACATCCTCGAGTAGGCAAACCGTTCAACGGGTGGAAGTTTTACTTGTACTAGAGATAGCTTAGCTTCCAAAACCCGATTTTGTGCAATGAACGGTGCCACACACGTTGGGCTTGCCCCATGTTTAAGATTTCAATGATTTCGACATGGAGGACCAACTGCTTTTCATTTCCCACATGAGCACCCTGTTCGATACACAAGTCCATAACACAATTCAAACGGAGTCACCATTACCACATGAATTCAACGGTCTTAGCTCCACTAATTCACAAAATCAACCGGCACAGCAGAGAGCTAGATAAGAAAAATCTTATACTTCAACATCCTCCATAGTGCTACACTACCTCCCTAGGTTGCACATTACTATAGAGACTGTCAATTGAAAGCATACTGAGCAGGCCATTTGCGAGGAAACACGTACTTGGAGCCCTCGAATTTTGGACAGTGGACTAGGCTCCAAGCACACAAACAGATCTAATGCAGTCAAAATAGAAACATCCCCCCCCCCCCACACACACTTAAGTTCGACATTGCCCTCAATGGAGAAGAGGGAAGGATAAGGTGATTAGGTGAACGATGGTACTGTTGTGCACGGACTGCGTGAGACTGGAAGGGGACCAGTCGGAGTGAAGGGGACTGGAGAGGGAACACAAAAACTCAGCCATAATATGTTAGGTCCAGTTGTCAGCCCAATAGTACAACATCCAAAAGAAAATAAACCAAAACACAAGACAGTTTGCACTCCGAATCAAACAAAAGCAACACAAGATGGGCAACAAGTACAGCCTACTCAAGCCCGGTGAAGTCGATCTGGTCCATGAGGTCGTCAACCCCATTTGTTGGTGGTGTCGGGGGTGGTGAGTGGTCCCACTGGGTGGTTAAGTGGTGCTCCTATGGCGGGTGGCAGGACTGGAGCAGGTACTCCTAGTACTCCATCATCCGGCGACTACGATCCCGCTCTCGCTCGATGCGAGAACTAGTGACTCCCAGCTGAGCGTCCATCCGGTCGAGGCGCTCGTCCACAACCGTCATCCGTGACTGGTACTCAGCCTGGTGGGCCGAATACTACTGATAGAACTGGACCTGATGGTCCATGAGCTGCTGGTTCTAGAGCCCGAGCTGCTGAAACTGGAGCCTCATCTGCTGGAAGTGCTACGTGAAGAAGTCCATTGACGGGCCAGAAGCCATCGACGGACCAGAAGGACTGGAGGAGGACTAGCCTCTCTCGGATCTCCGTCGTGGCTAAAGGTCCCCTGGTGGGGGAGAGCGGGGGCTCTGGCTCATCAGCCTCCATGGCCCCTCCATCATCATCATCATCATCATCCCCTTCCTCGCTGGTGTAGTCGTCGTCATTCTCATCCTCATCAAGATCCGCATCCTCCTCAGGGGGCAAAGACAAACCATCCACCCAGGAGCGGGCGCCATTACAGTCCAGGAGGAGTGCATTGCGAAGCACTTCCTGGCTGAGAGGGGTGGAGCCGCCCCGTGCTGAGGCATCCGTGAGTCCCTCCAGGTCAATCTCGAAGTGGCGCGCCAGTCGGGTGATCAGGGGACCATAGAAGAGATGGTTGGGTTTCTCGTGGCAACGAGAGATGGTGTTAGCCACGAAAGAACCCAAGTGTAGCATGTGCTCCAGGTACCCCATCGAATACATGGCGTAGAGCACCCGCTTCGGGATCTTGTGCGAACCAGTGGCATTGGGGACGATGGAGTGGGTGATCAGCATGTTGAGGATGTGCCACTGTGGCTTAAGGGTGCAGACGTATGTCTGGCCGGTGTCGAAGTAGTCCATCCCATAGTCGTGTCTAGGTATTCAGCGGTAGAACTCGTCCTGGTTCCAGTCCTGTGGATGTGGGATCTCGAGCTCGTGCGGGGAGTAGGGGTGGTACTGGATCCCCAGCCTGAAGGCCAGACCATCAATGCTCATCTGCCGTGGCCTGCCACCCAGCCTGAAGGTCACATCGGTGGGGGAGTTCCGGGCTGCTTTGGAGCGGTACCGGTAGGTGGTGTATAACTCCCACACCAGCTCTATGTAGGTGGGCTATTTATTGGTCAGCAAAGTCCTCCAATCACGGTGGCTGATGGCAGTGGAGATCTCATTCAAGTAGTGTAGCTGCTCGAAGACCCCCCACTCCAGATGGTGATGGCGCTGGAGCACTCCGCAGGTGACCTTTCGTAACTGGTCGGTGCATTCTGGGTGCAGGCTCAAGTCCTGCATGAACGGGTGATCAAGTGACATGATCCTGGAAACGCAAGTAGGACCGTAGAGGAGACACGAGAGAAGGGTGAGGGATGCGAAATCGTGCTCAAAATGACCCGGGAAACTCGTTGAAAAATCACTGGACGGTCGCTGGAAAGTGGCCGGCGGCGGCCGCGGGCGGTGGTCGACGTCGACTAGAGAGGAGAGAGGGGAGAGGAAATGAGAGGGAAGAGAGGGGAAGTTTTGGAAAAAAATGAGAGGAGAGAGAATGTGTCGACCGGGGGTTAGCTTAAATAGAAATAATACCCGGCCGTGCCTTAAAAGTACCCGGTCGGGTATATTTGAATCAAGGTCGGGTATTTCCCTTTTTGCGCCCCGGAGCACAAAATGGGTCCTGGCCGCAACACAAAAATACCCGGTCGGGTATTTTGTGTCACGGTCGGGTATTTCCCCCTTTTCGGCCAAAAAACTCTTTCTCATTTTTTCAAACTCCCCTGCACGAAGACACCAAACCGAGGCAGATCAAACGACCTAACTTCAACACAGACGTGCAACTGACTCAAACACGGCACAAAAACATAGAAAAAGGGATAAAGAAATGCAAACCGTGGTGGGGTTGCCTCCCTACAAGTGCTTCTTTACCGTCTTTTAGCTGAACGCCCATGGCAGAACTAAGGGTCCGCGAGTTCAACCACCAACTCCGCTCGTTCAACCTCGTCTCCCAGGTAGAGCTTGAGACGATGGCCGTTCACTTTAAACGGTTCAGTTTGCGGATTGACAATTTCAATCGTGTCATACGGGAACACCTGTGTGACCGTGAACGGTCCAGACCACCGGGAGACGAGCTTTCCGGGAAAGAGCTTCAGGCGAGAGTTATAGAGGAGAACTCGATCACCAATCTGAAACTCCTTCGGACCCCGCAACCATGCGTCATGCAGGCGCTTAGTGCACTCCTTGTACAGCTTGGTGTTCTCATAGGCGTGATAACACCATTCCTCCAGCTCCAACATCTGCATTTTTCGCTCAACACCTGCAACACTAACATCCAAGTTGAGCAGCTTAAGGGCCCAAAAGGCCTTGTACTCTAGTTCCACGAGCAAATGATATGCCTTTCCATAGACAACCCGGTACGGTGAAGTACCAATGGGTGTCTTGTAGGCAGTGCGGTATGCCCAGAGAGCATCATCGAGATTGGTGGACCAATCCTTGCCGGACTGATCCACCGTTTTCTCCAGGATACGCTTGAGCTCCCGGTTCGTCAGCTCGGCCTAGCCACTTGTTTGAGGGTGATAGGCCACGTACACCTTATGAGTGATAACATAGCGAGACAGTAACTTATCAAACTGTCCCTGAAAATGGGTGCCTCGATCGCTTATGATGGCTCTAGGTGTCCCGAACCGGGAGAATAGCTGCTTCAAAAAACCACAAACACGTCTAGTATCATTAGTGGGAAAAGCTTGCGCCTCGGCCCACCTAGAGACGTAGTCAACAACAACTAAGATGTAAGTGTTTCCAAAGGATGGAGGGAAGGGTCCCATGAAGTCAATACCCCATACATAAAAAATTTCACAGGTTATAAATACATTCTGGGCTCATCACTGGCAGAGATATTACCTGACCTCTGGCATCGGTCGCACTTGCGTGCGAAGGCGTCTGCGTCCTTGAAGAGCGTGGGCCAGTAAAAGCCCGATTATAGCACCTTCCTCGCCATGGGGTTTCCTCCATGGTGACCGCCAGTAGGTCCTTCATGATAGTGAGATAGAATGCCCTCCATCTCACTTTCCATGACACAACGACGGATGATCCCATCGGCTCCGATCCTGAAGAGATGAGGGTCATCCTAGAAGTAATGCTTCAGGTCAGAGAAGAATTTCCTCTTGACGTGAGTTGTCATCCCCTTATGCAGCTATTGGCCCACCAGATAATTTGCAAAATTGGAGTACCAAGGGGTGACACTCTCCACCAGGCACATCATCATCAGTCTCTCATCTGGGAAAGAGTCGTTGATCTCCCTTCTTGTCCCGAATCTCGATTTCGAACTCCTCAAATAGTAAGATCCATCGTATGAGCCTAGGCTTGGCATCGGCCTTGCTCATCAAGTATCGAATCGCGAAGTGATCTGTGTACACGGTCACATGTGACAAGACCAGATAAGGACGAAACTTGTCGAAAGCAAACACCACTGCGAGCAGCTCCTTCTTCGTGGTGGTGTAGTTCTCCTGGGCATCATTGAGGGTCTTCGAGGCGTAATAGATAGGACGAAAATGTTGATCACGCCCCTGCCCCAAGACAGCTCCAACAACAAAGTCACTGGCTCGCACATCAACTCGAACGGTAGGGACAAGTCAAGGTCAACCATGATAGGAGCATGAGTGAGCTTCTCCTTCAAGGTCATGAATGCCGTTGTGCATGCATCGGTGAACTGAAGGGGGCATCCTTCTCAAGGAGCTTAGTCAGGGGCAGGGCGATCTTCGAAAAATCCTTGATGAAACGCTTGTAGAATCCTGCATGGCCTAAGAAACTCCGGATCCCCTTAACAGATGTAGGAGGAGGCAGCTTGCCGATAGTCTCGGTCTTGGCCCTGTCCACCTCAATCCCCATCTTGGAGATCTTGTGCCCGAGAACTATGCCTTCACGAACCATAAAAAATGACACTTCTCCCAACTAAGTGCCAACTTCGTTTCTTCACACTGTTTAAGGACGAGTTCTAGGTTATGGAGACAGTGAGAGAATGAGTCCCCATAAATCGAAAAGTCTTCCATAAACACCTCCATAGACTCGTGCCCCGCCAGTCTCTCCAGCATCTGATCAATGAATGGCAGCGGGAAGTGGTCCTTCCGAGTAGCATCGTTGAGACTCCGATAATCGATGCAGACACGGTACCCAGTCACCGTGCGCATCGGGATGAGCTCGTTCTTGTCGTTAGGCACCACGGTCATCCCACCCTTTTTGGGTACCACCTGGGTGGGACTGACCCACTCACTGTCGGAAATGGCGAAGATGATCCCCGCGTCCATAAGCTTCACGATCTCCTCCCGAACCACAGCTTCCAGGTTCAGCGTCAGTCTCCTCTGCGGCTGTCTCATTGGCCGTATCTCATCCTCTAGCAGTATCCGGTAGGAGTAGGAGGAGGGGCTGATCCCCCAAATATCAGTGATTTTCCACGCCAGAGGCTGCTCATATTGCTTCAGCAAGACCACCAGTCTGACCTTCTGCTCGGGTGTGAGGGCCGAGCCGATGATAACTGGAAGCTTATGCCCCTCCCGGAGAAATGCATACTCCAAGTGAGGAGGGATGGTCTTTAGCTCCAGCTGTGGTGGCTCCTCCAAGGAGGTAGTGATGCGAGGTGAGGATGAGATCGGTTTGAATAGCTTATCGCCCTCCAGGAATGCACCACTCTCCAACGCGGCCAACTGCTCCTCCAACTGCGGCTCCTGCGATGCCTGCTCACCTAGCAAAATACAGCGCTCAAGAGCATCGTCAGTACCTGCACTTGTTATGGCGAGTGCGGTCTCAAAATCAGCAAGCACATCACAGTAATCTAGGTCATCATGCAAATGGGAGTGTTTCCCATTCTTAGAAACAGAAAAAGTAGCATGTTCATCCCCAGCACGCAAGATCAATTTACCACTATGCACATCAATAAGCGCCTTGGGGTGGCGAGAAACGGTCTACCCAAAATCAAAGGCACATCCACAACCTCATTTATATCCAGAATAACAAAATCAACAGGATATGTGAATGCGCCTACATTAACAAGAAGATCCTCTATGATACCCCTAGGATGCACAATAGAACGGTCAGCTAACTGAATGCTCATCCTAGTAGCTCTAGGTTCACCTAGGTCTAGCTTTTTAAACAATTTGTAAGGCATGATGTTAATGCTAGCGCCTAAGTCCGCCAAGGACTTTCCTACATGCATGCTGCCAATAACAAGAGGGATAGTAAAACTCCCTATGTCTTTGCGCTTCTCGGGTAGCTACTTCTGCAGGATGGCAGAACACTCCTTGCTAGCATCACTGTCGAAAGATCCCCAAGTTTCTTCTTGTTGGTGAGGAGGTCCTTCATGAATTTAGCGTACTTGGGCATATTCGACAGTGCCTCCACGAACGGCATGCTGATGTTGACCTGCTTCAACATTGCCATGAACTTGGCAAACTCAGTCTCCAGCTTGTCTTTGTGTAGGTGAGTGGGGAAGGGAAGCTGCAGTACATGCTCCTTAGCCACTGGCTGTGGCTTGGGAGCATATGTTTATTTCTCCATCCCCAATTCTGCATCGTCAGTTGGAAGTGTTGAAGCAGGTAGTGGCTCTTCTTGCCTGACCTGGGCAGGAGCAACAAATGTGGTCTTGCCACTCCCAAGACTGATGGCATCCAGCTGCTGGTGAGGCTCGCGAGGATTTGGAATGGTGGTGGCAGGCAAAGTCCCCGGTGCTCTGGTGTTATTTTGACGAGCGATGCCACCAATCTGATTTTGGAGATCCTGCAGTATAGCAACCTGGTTCCTTTGGCCTGCTTCTAGAGAAGTTATGTTCTGATCCATCCTCGCGAAATTCGCCTGACTAGTAGTCATGAATGCCTGCAAAATATTTTTCAGCTCCGTCATCTAGGTATCTGGAGCTGGAGCTGCTGGCGTCTGGGCATAATGGCGCTGTGGCTGCTGGAATGGCTGCCCCAGTCTGGGATGGTACGATTGCTTCTGTGGAGCTGGGCCCTGCCTGGCCTGGAAGGGCTGCCGCTGCTAAAAACCACCTGCTGGTGCTGGGAAACCAGGTGGTTTAG